TGTGGGGAAAATGTCCCCAATGGGGTGCCCCAATGAGACAGTCAAACTTTGTTTTGTCACAAGGTAAGGAGTCATGGTTTGTGTGCTCTGGAATGAGTCCACGACTACTTTCATTTTTAGTGCACCAAACAAACACAACGCACCACCGCTCCTTTTAACTCCACATGTGCCCCAAACTGCCAGGTTACCCCACCCCTCCTTTGTTTCACATAGATTTTGTCCTCTTCTTAGGACCCCCCAACCCTTTGTGTTGGTGGCGGTTGTCCCTTTGACAACTCAAAAGGGACCCCTTATTCCTCCACCTTTGTTTATTAAGACTATTTTTATCTCGCTATTAAGTGAAGACTCGAGATATATGCAAGGAATTCCAAAATTTGATGAACCAAGTTATATTCAAAGGCTAGTAATTGCGTGAGATGTCTTTAAATTGCAGCTGTGGTTATGCAGCCATAGCCATTGATATGTAGAATAATGCAATGGGAGAAGGATAATATACGGTGGTAGGTCCAATGAAAAGAGCTATCCAGTTTGCTGACATGACGTAGGTGACACATGGCACGACTATACATGTATGACGTCACCGTCAAGATACCACACCAAGAGAGCCACGTTGGAAGGGCATACGTGTCGCAAACTTATAACAAAGGAAAACCACAAGTCGGGATAGTGAAATCTCTCTGCCCACCACCTGACCTCCTCCGTCTTCCTTCGTTTCTTCCTTTGTTTCTTTTGTAGCTCCATCCATCCATCCATATCTACACGCACACATACATATTTTATTCAGCATATCTTAATAACAACATTTTCAAGTCAAAACCTTAGCTTTTTTTAGTGGTGAAACGATTTATTATCAATTTTAGATTTAATTTTTAAATAATTTTTATCTTTTTTAGAAATTTTGAAGTTTGAAATTTATGGTTTTGATCAGATTAACAACTGGGAATATGAAACATAATTGATTTTGGAATTCAGTGGGGCAGAGGCCATTGGCGAGGGGAGACCTAAAAGGTCAAATGCGATAAGAATATATTAGGTTTTACAAGATATGTATGCATTTTTAATAAGTTAAGAATATTTTAAATAAATACTACTTTACATTCACCGCATACTATCATATTTAATACAAGTCATAACATAACCATACATATCAAACATAAAATATCAAGGCCATGGATATTAATTTTAATGTTCGATTAATGTTTAGTATTAAATATGTTATAGAAATGCATATTTGTTGTTAAAATTTAAGAAGATTTAATGAAACCTCCAAAATTAGGAGTTGTTATAGATAATGATTCGAGTCACAGGGGCGCCGATTACTTGAGGTAATTGTGTAAGAGACACATGTTAGTTGGAGTACAAAAAAAGTAGATTGGGGCATGCCTTTTTGTTTGGTTGCGTTCATATTGTTTAATGAAGGCACATGGTTGCATGTGAAAATATGGTGAATTAGGCAATGCATGAGCCTATGGGGGTGAAAGCATACAAAATATAATAAATAATGTGAATTGTTGGACAAAAGTACACAGAAAAGCACCCCCCGCAAATGAACAAGGGCATGTGGTCCTTTGATTGATAAAATAGTATTATAAAAATTGCAAAATGGGGTTTCCTCTAAACATCTCCTGACCAGCATCCCACATGTCCCAATCCCAAAATCAGGCAGCTTGGCTTTCATGTTACCACACGTGCTAGCCCTTAATTGTGAAAAAGAGATTCCTCTCCTTTGAGTCATTATTTGCCCCTTTGCTCCCATTGGCGGGGTTGTCATGGTAATATAAAAATAGTAACACCTTCATCTTATTCAAATTCAAATATCATTCCACCCCGCTAAAACATATTATATTTTCAATAATATTTTTAAAAATTTCAAGACATTACAAAAAAGCAACGTTTGTGTATAATCTTTCTTAATTATTAATAACATACATATTTTATTTATACTGATACAACTTCTTAAACTCATATTTAAAAAAAAAAAATATTTTCTTAAGTACTGAAATTACTTAATAGATTTATATTTTTAATAGAATTAAATATGATACAGATTACTTCAATTTACATTAAGCTATTTTAATATAATGTATCCTATGTAAAATTTAGGACTTATGGTTTTAAATTTTGTACGAACCAAACTATCTTAATGTTTAATGGGATTATTGTTATCTCTATAGATCATGAATTTGAGCACCTGTATTGTATTTGAGTATTCATTGTCAAATAATTAGCGACTTTTAGAACATATATTTCCACTTATAATCATCCTAGATTAATAAAAAATTAGATTTTAAATAGGCAAGATTATGTAAACTTTAAAACAATTTGAGTATTAAAAATTATTCATAATTAAAAATAATTAGGGATAATCATGAGTATGGTCAGGCTTTTGACTCACTCGAATTTGACTCAAAAATTAATTTTTTTCACCTAAACTCGATTTACATTTAGGAGGATTTCACCTAATCTGATTTTTTAGGGTAAAATTCACACTCAAACTTGATCTTAATTTTTTATGGGTTAAATCATATTTTTTTCACTCTAAACTCAAATCTGACTCGACCCAGATTCAAATTTTTAAAATAAAAAACTAATCAAATTAAAATTCGTAAGATTTGACTAAAATAACCATCCATATAATGATCATATTAAATATAAACCATAAAAAACCGTTTTCATTCAACTTTGTTTTACAAACATTTTGACAATTTCAATTCAAAAAAGCTTAATCTTCCTTTTTTTCTTCTTTTCTTTTCTCTAGCTTTTGGATATGTCTCAAAAATAGTAAAATAATGTTAAAAGGGTTTGAAAATTTTCCCATTTGCACAAGTGAACATGTTAATCTTTTTCTTTCTTTCTTTTTTGACGATTTTAATGTTCTTGAAGGGGTTAAAAGGAAGAAGGGGCACATGCAAGCCATTGGAGGGGTGGGGCTAGTGGGTGCACTTCAAAATGTAGGGCCACGGAGGCACATGTCCTGCGGCTGCCAAGGGCTACTTAATCAAGGGCACACGTTGTGAGGCTGTTTTGCTCATAAAACGCCTCTCTTCTCGCCTTTCCTATATATATTTCTACAAATCTATTGCAATGTGAAAATTAAGGAGTATTAGTGTGTTCAAATTCAACAAGTTATCTACTAAATTGAATTTCGAATTTTTATTAATTTAGGGTTTTATATCTTACAAATATCTCTCACATTTAAACCTTTACTTGCATGTAGCTAAAAAGAAACTTTCACATACATGTGACAATCTTGTCGCAAACTAGATGATTGGTCTGAGCCTTTTGCCGACACATTTTTGATGTGTCTCTGGTTCCACTCCAACTAATTGAGCGGCAAAGAATTGATTAGTTAGGCTTGTTGGAGGATTTATATAAACTTGAGGGGAAAAAACCTTACATTTTATTTCATTTTTATCCAGTAAAATAATGAAAATCTCAAATCTTGCAGCATATATGTTGTATAACAAACTGTTTAAAATTTAGTTAAATTTAGATAATAAGATTTTATATAAATGACTATTATTTTAATAAATTATATTAACAATTTTAAGAGAATAAAATTATAAAATTTTAAGGATATACATGAATGAAAAATATATTAAAAAACATTTAAATTATATGAATATTTGAATCTTATAAGAATGTGACCGCATTCTCAACACCACTTTTATTCATCCCTGATTAAATTACCGATCAAATCTTACTAGATCCCTTAAACAAGGTCAAAAATTTGAATCAGAATATTTGCAAATGAAACAAATTGAGTTGGGAGGATCACCCTCGTCTCTGTAATACCTGATCTAAATTAATCGCTTAATAAATCAGATACATGTGATTATAAAAAAATAAAATTTAATTTAGATCGATGATAAATTTAATTTTTTTATATGTTTAATCTTTAAAAGAATTAAGTTCATAAATGCAATTAATGACAATTTGTTTTGAAAATTTAAAGCTTAATTCCCAAATAAGTGCACAAACTATCACTTTTGTTTCCATTCGGGTACCTAACGTTACAAACGTTACCCTTTTAGTTGCCCAGGTCGTCAACGTCGTTAGTTTTCCTCCTTAAGCGACACGTATCAACACCTGGTAATTTTAAAGATTTATATAAATTAAAAAAAAAAGAAAAAACATAAATTTTGAAATAACCCCTAAACTTTAAAAATTTTCATTTCAACCTCTAAACCCACGCCGATTGTCATCATTTACCGTCGAAGAAGCTCCACCCGACCTCCCCTCCCCCCGGCGACCATAACCTCTATGAAATCGTGATCAGTTGACGATCAATTGACCACATATCGACGTTTTAAATTGACCATAACATTAGCTTTAAATCGCGTGAGATCACGATTTCTACGGTGAATCGACGCCAATTATGACGACATATAACTAGAATGATGTCAAGGAATACGTCGGCAACGACGATGGTGGCCGGAGAAGGTGACGGATTAATGTTAAGATTTAATATTTTGGAGTTGTTTTATAATATAAGAAAAATTAAAGTTTTATTTATAAATATAATATTATTTTTAATATTTTTTATAAAAAATAAATTTCAAAATTACTAGGCTTGACACATGGCACTTAACGAGAAAAATTAACGGCGTTGACGACCTGGACACCTAAAAAGATGAACACCTAAAAAATAACATTTGTAATGTTAAGCACCTGGATACATAAAAAATCACACTAATTTAATAAAAAAAAGTATAATTTGGGCGTTAAGCAAAAAGTTTAATGACCTTTTTGTTATTTGCATTACCATCTTACCCTTATTTTAATATTAAATTAAAATGATTTGGACTACTACTAAACAAAAACCTTGGAATAAAGCGACCAAAAACTTTATTATTCGACCAAAACAAAAAATTAGCTGGCATTGGTATGTTCAATTTTATTAATCAATTAATTAATATGATTATTAAATGAAGCCTTGCTTAGCTTAACATGCCAAAATAATAATAAATAAATAAAAAACATCAAGTGGAGTGGAGCTCAAAAAGAAGAGGAAAAAGTCATGTATACACAAAAATACAGGAATTTAAAAATCTCACTGAAAAAACAGTTTCAAAAAAAAATCGTAATGAACACCTGTTCAAGAGTTGACATTAGTCGAAAACCGATCAGCCGGCGGCTGCGGTCCGCCGCCGGCGAGAAACTCGGTGATAGCCGTCATGGCCCTAACTTGCATCTCAAGGGCCGCTATGTAATCGCTAGTTTCCTCTAGAAGGTTTGTGAAGGATAGTTTCCGGCAACCGGGAACGAGACGAGCCAAGAGCTTCAACTTTCTCTGAACGACAGGCGCTTTCCTCTTCTCCCTATTAATCGCCGGCTTCCTCAACCTCGTATCGGCGACGACCTTGGCTTTCTTATGTTTCGAAATCTTGCGAGAGGTGAGGATCGCTCTGCTCCAACGCGTGGTTCCTCTGGCCAGAACGGCGAGAACTCTGTCAGCCGTCTCGTGGACTTCCTTGGCGGCTGAGGTCCTCCGAGAACGACGGAGGGCCTGGATGAGCTTGGAGGAGTAGATGTGCTGCTGGCGCTGCGTTCGCCATCGCTTATTTGTTTGGTTACGTTGATGCGAAGCAGGGTTTTGGTCGATTATCCTTCGTTTCCTCCGTTTGAATTCGGGACACGTGTCGGGGGCGGGATCGAGATTGGGCATGAAGGAAGCCATGGAAAGTAGGGAATAATTGGAGGAAGAAATGAAATGAGTGGGAAAAATAAAGGAGAAAAGAAAGTGATATAAGTCGAGGTTATGGTTTGGGATTTGAGTTTGAGAGAGAGGACTGAGGAGGGACTGGGAATGACCTTATAAAAGCCATTCACCCAACAACAAAATCACGCGGCTTCCAGGTTACTCGTGACTATTATAATTAACACTCCTCAACAGTTTGTTTTTTTTGGATAATTTAGTCTGAATAAATTCTATAATTAAAAATATTTTCTAGTTCAGATAGTAAAAGATAGTGGATTGCAAATGATTCGAGTATATATTTATTTGTTTTTAAATATATTTATGTTTGATTTGTATTTTTTAAAAGTTTTAATATTATGTTTATGTTTATACATTCATATATGTGAATATATTTGTTTAATATTTATTAACATGATCGTGAACGGTAAAAAATATACTTACCAATATATTCATTATCCTGGTTATGGATAAAATTAAATATGTCCGTGAATATAGATCAAATCTACACACTTTTATTTAAATTCATTGATTTAATTAAAAGAACATAAATTATTTCTTTATATTTATTTACTTTGTTGACTGTTATGTTTATTTGTTTAACTTAATAAATAATATATGAATATTTGACGGGATTTTCATCAATAGTATGAGTAAGATAATGTTAATTAAAGGGTTTAAGATTTATTAGGTGAACCAAAATGAATTAAAACCATTAGTAGGAGTAAGATTATAAATAAAGACTTTATAAAATATATTGTTGGATGTTTTAAATCGAACGTCACCTAGCACTGCCATTGGCAGCTCAAAGCTTTCGTTTCAAACTTTAACAGGATTTAATTTGAGATTAAATGTACCACTTGAAAATTCAAAGTACTAACCACATAATATATATTGGGCGGTAGCCCCTTTTCTTATCAGATAACAAAACCCTGCAGGACATCTAAATTCATTCAGCAACTCCCCACCACATTTTCTTATTAATTTTAGGGTAAAGTACACAAATGATCCATTGACTATAGGGTATTTTTTATCAAGTCTCTCGATTATTCAAAGTTACAAAATAGTCCTCTGACTATAGAATGTAAGTCCTTCGACTATAAAAGTTATAAAATGATCACACGACTATTCATTATGTTTCGAACTCATCCACTTCCGTTAAAAAAATTGACAATTTTCTAAGTTGAACATTAACATGATGGTTGAGACAAGATAATCGTTTGAGATTTTGGGATCATATTTTATTATATCAAAACTAATAAGTTAAGGTTCAGCTCATAATACCGTCAATTTTTTAACTAAAAAAATAGATAAGTTTTGAACATAATAAATAGTCGATTCACCATTTTATAACTTTTAATAGTTGATGGGATCAACAAAGCAATATTTTATAATTGGAGGATTGTTTTGTAACTTTTAATAATTAAAAGACTTGATAAAATAGTACTCTATAGTAGGGAATCATTTATGTACTTTACCCTTAATTTTAATACTTGTTTTATTTGGTAAATATAATTAGGAAAGAAATAGAAATAGAAATGGTTTGTCGGATAACAAAGTGTTGAGCTTTCCCTTCCCACCTATTGGCTTTTGATTTTCGTGTGGGGGCAAACGCAATTTGTTTTTGTTATCGGCAATGATTAGTGGTTGAAACACGAATATAATAATATTATTTTTTGAGCCTTGTTTTTTCTTAATAAAATGTCATATAAGATTTTCATATACTTAAGGTTTATGTTTGAGTTTGAGCTTAAACCAAGATAAATCTGAGAATGTTTTGAGTTTAAGTCGAGTTTAAGTTTCTGATTTGAAATAAAAGTTTAACTTAACTTGTTAAAAGCTCGCAAACTTCTGAGTCGATTTGAGATTAATATTAAATTTTATGAATGAACTCAAGCTGAAAAAAAATCAAGTTGTACTCGATTCGTTTACATGGTTAAATAGAATGAGAAGAGGAGCATCACCATTACACCACTTGCCAGTAGGGGTGTAAACGAGCCGAGTCAAGCTCGAGTATTGCTGAACTCGACTCGAACTCGAAAACTATATGAGCAAACTCGACTCGACTCGAAAACTCACGAGCTAAAAATTATCAAGCTCAGCTCGAACTCGAAATATATTATTGAAACTCGACTCGAACTTGAAAAGGCTCGAATTCAAAAAATATTAAGAGCTCAATTGAAGCTCGAGACTCAAACTCGACTGAAGCTCGATTTTAAGCTCGATTCAAGCTCGATTTTAAGCTCGATTCAAGCTCGATTCAAGCTTGATTTTGAGCTCGATTCAAGCTCGATGGGTTTTAATTTCATTTGCTGAAACCCTTCCCCCTTTTATACACTGACTTTACCCCTTATTCCCCTAAAAACCACTGATGTGGGATATTAACTCTTCATCTTAGCTTATCTTACCTTCAAAGCATGACCACTCTTCATCCTCATCATCGGGAAGCCATAGATTTCTTCAAAAGAAACCACACATTCACTTCCCCAAGATCTTTACTTTAGGCCCACTTCTCCATCGCCGTGAGCTCAAACACTGGAAAACTGCATTACTTTCCCTTTGCTAACATCATCTTTCTATCTTCTTTTCTTCTTTAAATTTCCAGAAATAGACTGCAAGATTTGTTCAATATCTTCGGTTCAATGTACTTTGTTGTGGCCTTTCTGGGGATGAACAGCAACTCATCTGTCCAACCATTTGTTGCCACAGAGAGGGTTGTTATGTACCGAGAAAGATTTACAGGGATATACTCTTCTTGGGCTTATGCACTAGCACAGGTACGTTCTCTTACACATCATAAGTTAAAATAAACTTTTTTATTTTCTCTCTTTGAGCTAAGTTGCTAGTTTTATGGGTTCTCGATAAAGCTTATAGTAAATAAGGAGGGTGTAAATATTCTGCAGGTGGCAGTTGAGGTACCCTATCTATTTATCCAAACTCTGTTGTTTGGAATGATCGCATATCCCATGATTGACTTTTATGGATCTGCATATAAGGTTTTGTGGTACTTCTATGCCATCTTCTGCACACAGCTCTACTTCCCCTTCTTTGGAATGTTGTTTGTGTCATTGACACCGGAAGTCACAATAGCTGGAGCTTTATCATCGTTCTTCTATCCGTTGCTTAATCTTTTCATCAAATTTCTGATGCCTAAACCGGTAAGCTATTACTATTAGAAAGAATTTGGTATGATGAAAAGTGAATATGTTGAATTATACCTAGTATAACTGTGATGTAGTATTCACTTAGCTGGTTATGTTATTATTTATTTACAGAAAATCCCAAAGTGGTGGCTCTGGTTGTATTATCTAATGCCTACATCTTGGACATTGAATTGTTTGCTCACTTCACAATATGGAGATGTAAACGATGAGATTATGGTATTCGGTGAAATGAAGCCATGACAGTGGCCTCTGTGCTTGAAAACTATTTCGGGTTTCGCCATGACCGCTTACACATTACAACTGTCGTTATGATTTCGTATCCCCTACTTTTTGCAACCCTTTTCCCATATTTTCTTGCACGTTTGAACTTTGAGAAAAGGTGAATATGTCTATCCCACAAGGATGAAAATTCTGTGCATAAACGAATTGTGTTCCCTTTGTACTTAATTGGGTTTCGTTGTCTACTCTTTGTTTCAGTTCCCACCATTCCATTGCTTGCTGTAGTTTCTATTCTTGAAGATGCTCTAATTTAATCAACCTTTCATTAATTAAGAAATTGATCCGAACTAAAACCAGAATCCATGGATCCAAATGTATGGCCAAACATTTCAGTTGATATGCATGGGTTTTGAGACATTTTATGGTGAAACAACCACTAGATTCAGACTTGGGGTCGAGACAAACGACTTATGAAATTTGGAATCGAATAGCCATCATCTACGATGGACCATCGTAGGATGTGTGAGCATTGTTAATTGATTAAGAAAATTTTAAACATATATTACTTTATAACTATCCCAAATTCTACTTCCATTCTAAAACGCTTTAATTGTTTATAATTATATATATCATAATCCTATCATGTATTTACCTCGACTATTCATATGATTCAATCTCGTCATTTTCATTAAAAAATTGGTGATTGTATGATATTGATGTTAATCTGTTGACTAGGGTATGATAAAATATGATCCCATCGTTTTAGTTGTATTTGTACATCAAATCTCCGTTTACATTATGTCGTCGAGTCAGTTCTTGAAATATTATGTTGGTGAGTCAGTGCTTGAAAGCAATGACGATGTCGATAGTCATCATTAAGATATGATAAAATCATGTCTCAATCAGCAAGTTGTGTATATTTATTTTGCATGTTGATATGTTTATATATAAGTATGCAAATGATTTATTTAAGAGCCATTTTTAACATCACTTTGCGTAATTTGTATGTTACATTTATGTTCATAACTTAACCAATATCATATAATTGGATTTAGGGTTTAGGGTTTATAGTTTATGGTTTAGGATTCATGGTTTATGGTTTAGGTTTTAGGGTTTAGCATTTATTACAAATACATTAATTAATCGACTTGATATCGATTTATGAGGTAAGTACAATATAATAAAGAGAAAATAACCTCAGTGACCAAAAATGCCTTATAATATACGATTTTAACCAACTTTTTTTGGATTTGCCAAAATGATCAACTAAATCGCAATGCGATCGATAATTCGCAACGCGATCTCCGGTATCGCAAATCAGTTTACAGATTCGCAAAGCGAACTTCGACTATCTCAACGCGAACTTGGACTATCGCAATGCGATTTATATATTCGCATTGCGATAGTCTAAGTTCGCGTTGCGATTTTTCAAATTCGTTGCGGTAGTCGAAGTTCGCGTTGTGATAGTCGAAGTTCGCGTTGCGATTTATTCCAAATTCATTGCGATAGTCCAAGTTCGCGTTGCGATTTATTCCAAATTCGTTGCGATAGTCCAAAATCGCAACGACTGGTGGTATTGCATTTGTTTCTTAAGAATTTTCTCTAAAAAGATAGTATTCGCGCGGACGTGTCAAACACACGTATTACCACGACCACGACCACGACCACGACCACGAGACGAGACGAGACGGACGGCGGCGGCGCGCGAGAGTCCCCCTTGTTCTCTATCACTTAACAAGGAAGTGGGAAAGCGAAGCCTTAAATACCATTCCCAATAGTGTTTCCAATACTATGTGGGATTGAGTATTACCAACACTTGTTTCCAATACAACGTGATTATTCAGGAAACAATTAACAATCATGCACCTTAAAACAATTGAATCAGCAACCAATTGCATTAGTATTATACGATTAAATATGTCATAATTAAAAGTCAATCTACAATCAATCGCGATTATTGCAATTTTAAGCAAAACATTCAAAAATAATATCACTATTTAAGGCTCAATCCCACATAGTATTGGGAACAAGTGTTGGTAATGCTCAATCCCACATAGTATTGAAAACACTATTGGGAATGGTATTTAAGGCTTGGCTTTCCCACTTCCTTGTTGAGTGATAGAGAATAAGGGGGACTCTCGTGCGCCGCCGCCGTCTCGTCTCGTCTCGTATCGGGTCGTGGTCGTGGTAATACGTGTCTTGGACCCGTCCGCGCGAATACTATATTTTTAGAGAAAATTATTAAGAAACAAATGCAATACTACCAGTCGTTGCGATTTTGGACTATCGCAACGAATTTGGAATAAATCGCAACGCGAACTTCGACTATCGCAACGAACTTGGAATAAATCGCAACGCGAACTTCGACTATCGCAACGAATTTGGAATAAATCGCAATGCGAACTTCGAATATCACAACGCGAACTTCGACTATCGCAACGAACTTGGAATAAATCGCAACGTGAACTTGGACTATCGCAACGAATTTGAAATAAATCGCAACGCGAACTTCGAGCAACGAATTTGGAAAATCGCAACGCGAACTTCGACTATCGCAACGCGAACTTGGACTATCGCAATGCGAATATGTAAATCGCAATGCGATAGTCGAAGTTCGAGTTACGAATCTGGAAACTGATTTGCGATATTGGAAATCGCGTTGCGAATTATCGATCGCATTGCGATTTAGTTGGTCATTTTGGCAAATCCAAAAAAAGTTGGTTAAAATCGTATATTATAAGGTATTTTTGGTCACTGAGGTTATTTTCTCTATAATATATTGATATTAAATACATTACAATATGATTTAGTTGTATTATAGAATTTTTAATATATTTTTAAAATTTTATAATTATCAATAATATATTTTTAATAATGTAATTTTAAAAAATCTAAAATTATAATATAACATTTTTTCGAGTTGCTCACGAGCTTTTCGAGTCGAATATCGAGTATCTCGTTTCGGATCGTTAAAAATTCGAGTCGAGCTCGAGCTCAAGTCGAGTCCATTCGATCCAAGTATTTATCGAGCCTTGATCTAATCGATCTCGAGTAATTCGCGATCTGTGTCGTCTCATTTACAACCACACTTGCCAGGCTCACTGCCTCCTCCCGGTGAAACAATTTCAAAAATAAAAAGCAAAAGTAGAGTGAGTCAATAGCCCAAAATCCTTTTATTTCAATTTATAACTAAACAGTGGAAAACCTTAATCTCTTAATAGTAATTGAGGAAAGGGACTGATCAAGGTGGCAGCAATTAGTGAGACACACGTTGATTCTTCCTTATCCATTATCGCGGCTTAATTTATGAAAGACGAGGCAATTAGGCCACATTTCAGTGTCCACCGGCCATTAACAAATTAATTAATTAATTTAAAACCCGTGATTAAGACAACACGCAGCACAGGGTTAGGTTTTGTCGCTTAATCCTCATCCCTAAACATAACATGGGATTTGGGTTTATTAAATCAATAAATGTTGTGCAAGTAATAAAAATGGATGGTGGAGAAATCTCAGTCCGTGAGTTAAAACAAAGAGCAGGTCACAGGTGACGGTTTTTGCGTGCATTCATATGCACAACAATAATAATTGGGATGCTGCAGCAGCAGCTTAAATTAGTCAAACCAAAATATTCTAATTCACGTAATTTGATTAGAGGGTTTGATTTAGTATAAATGATTGCCAATTGGCTGAGTTGCTGACGTTCATCTAGCCCTCTTGTTACCACCATGATTTCACCAATTTTATTTTACTTTTTGCACGGCTGTGTCTCTGCCTTGCTCCCCAATCCATCTTTATTTATCTGGGCTAATTGTACAAATATTCAGAATTTATCGCCTGAATTTTCAATCGGTTTACAAGCTTCATAATATTCTAATTTGGCCCTCAAAACATGAACTTTGCACTAGTAAAATCTTTCCATCAATCTAGTTTCTGATTTAGGCGTCAAATGTCTCAAACAAGGCGATATCAATAAAGTTTCAGACACATTTTTTTAACGCACCATATTTGAATTGTCAATGTAGTAGTTATATATATGTTTTTAATTTGACCCATGTGTTTATATACTTTATATTAGATTAAAATTATCATTTAATGTCCAAGCCATTAATGGGATCTAATATGATATCGTTACTTTAAGGGTGTGTTTGGTTGGGGGAATGTGAGATTCCCATGGGAATGGAATCCACATTCCCCCATTTGGTTGGCTGAGAATATCATTCCCGATAATCTTACATTACCAATAGTGAATTTTTTGGGGGTATATTACCGAGAATGTCATTACCTCCATTTCCTTAAGTATTGTTGGATTACCGGTGTTTTGGACTAAAATGCCCTTAAAAAAAGTTTCTTTCAAAAATATTTTTATTCTATCATTGAATAATAAAAATTCTACGAAGGTTAAATTACAAATTTATCCTTAAACTATTTTAGATTTACAAAAAAGTCTAATTAAAATTTTATATGAAGTTCAAGGGTTAAAATAAAATTTTACCCTTTCATTAAACCTTTTTATATTTTCAATTTTGTAAAAAAAATTATATAAATTTTATGAATTTAAATTTTTAAAGAAAATATATTAATATTTTCCAACTTGTTAAAATAACAAATATATAATAAGGACAATTTGGTCAAATATACATTCCAATAATCTTTTATTCCTTTAACCAAACACGGTAATCTTACATTCCTGCTAAACTAACCAAACACAAAATACAACATTCCCAGTAATCCTATTCCCTGATAATATTTTATTCCCACTGATAATATTACATTTCGTAAACCAAACGCACCCTAAGGACTCCGTTAAAAGAGTTTAAAGGTTGATTTGTAATTTGAACCACATTTTGAAGACAAATGATGAATTATCTTCTTTGTTAAAACCGCAATAATGATCACAAAAGCATATTTTAATATAGTAACATGAAATCATAATAACGGTAGCTGGCTACTGCCACCTCAAAAGGGAGTATAACATAAAGACCACTTTTTTTTTGAGTGAAAAAGGGTGGTCAGAGGATCTTCTTGTTGTCCTGTACTAATGCTATTTATTGCTAATTAGATGCATCAAGTAAAACCATATTGGTATAAATACCAAAGAAAAGAAGGAACTTAAATGACTGGGAAGATCTTCTTCACTGGACAATTACATGGATGCATGCATACATACACACACATGTATTTTTTTTAAAGTATATACATACATATTTATATAAGAATCTTATGGGGTTATTAACTGCAAGCTGTTTGTTGAAGCTCTGGGCTTCACATCATAGGCAAGTTTGATATCTGCAGGCTTAGACTGTGGATCTTCCTCTTGGAAGGGTGCCTCAAATAAGAGTGATTGGTATAAGCACACTTCATCTTCTTTACAATAATACACCTGCAAGGTCAAGGGCCAAATAATTTGACACAAAATGATTTGATTTCTAAAGTTGTTCTATGATTTAGCTTTAATGTAACCTACAGAATACTAATCTTATAAAAAAGATCCAAGCATCTGGGGGTCAGCCATTGAATAGATAAATAACACATGAAGGCAACAGCATGCGTGCCGACGCACGTATACATCTCCTAAAACTGTAAAAAAAATAAAAATAAAGGAGTACCTTGCAATTAATCATCCCCGTAAAAGCGGAAGAAGTGGATCTTTTGAATTGAAATTTTGCAGATCCCTCTGAACTAAGCTTTCCATCCAAGGGATCAATAGATGCAGCATTTTCAGGCTCTATATCGACAGTGAATTTACTCCGTGCTTCCTGCAATTGGTATTATGAGGGAAAACATTGAAGAGTATTCTTAGATGACAATGCTATCGTTTTAAAGCAACAAAGTTGGGAAAACATAAAGGTAAAGAAGGGGTTGGACCCTTCAGTGAGTCATGTGTGCATCATTTTGGTGTAACTATGGTCTATGGGGGAGGGAAAGATGAAGAGACCTTGGAGAAATGATACTCTTTAGGTAATGATATTTTGAGATATAAGTTCCCCTCACTGGATGAACCGCCATTAACAACGATGGTCTGTGTGTCAGCTGATGATCGCCTCCTAAAGCGTCTCAAAGATTTGGATTTTGGTGCAGGAGGTTGAACTCCTTTCAGCACTAAAGAAAGGATTTCTACATTTTCTTTGCTCAGGTCTAGATATCTGATCAGACTGTTGTTTGTATCAGCAATAAAAAGTCTTCCTACAAATCGATAGGGAAACACAATCAATAAACGGTTAATGCTGAACAAAAGAAGGCATCAAAATTGAAACTTAAAGCGGAAGATGATAAAAGTTATATGATAAAATTTTATATACGACTTAAGGTAGAATTAAAATTATGTCAAGCAACTGTCAGGCATATTCCACTTCATTGCTGAAAACTCTTGGTTCAACTGTAATGCATTAATATATTTGCAAAATTAAATATGCTATAACACTACTTTTTTTCGTTCTTTTGTAGTAATTCATCTAGTTCCAACACTATGTTCTAATTGTAAGGGGTATTGCATGCAAGCGATCTGAGATCAGGAAATGAGAACTTGACACTTGAATTACAGGACTACTCATGATGTGGGATCTTCATATGAAGTTCATTTTATAATAGAAAGTATCATTCCATGCAATGTACAGCTCAACACTAAAACTAAATAAATATTACGGAAACAAACTCTGCGAAGTTAAACAGATTTCAAATTTCATATGCGTAATGAAGCTTCATCTGAAAACTGATAAGAAGATCAAATGCGGTAAAGTTGCATGAGAAGAAAAGAGCATCACCATTTTCTGCTTCAATGATCCCTGCTGGTTCAGAAAGCTGCAAGACCATAATAACTGTTAAAATGATACTATTTCCAGTTAAAAGTATGTAGAAAGTTTCAAACATTCACTTTCTATAGCATAACCTCTTAAGATACAGTTACAAATTCGTAGTTCTAACCTGAGCAGATAGGGCCTTTCCATCCTTGAAACCAGCTTTGCCTGTCCCTGCCAGTGTGGTAACTCTTTTACTAGCTGGATCCAGTTTCTTGATCTGAAATTTCAAATCCATATAAAGATGAAGCGCAAGCAATTTAGCCTGAAGTAATTCCTATTGCTTACCAGGTCATAAATTTAAATAAAGTGGTAACTTGAACATCGAGATTAGTACACTAAAAATTTTAGCTTTAGTTCTAAATATATAACTATTCACTATGTTAACCACATCAAATATTTCTTCTTTCATGGTTCTAAGTTCTATGCAAAGAGTCCAGGCACGAATTAAGCATACATGTAAAATTACAAGGAGTCTGCACGAATTTAGCATACATGAAAGAGTAAATGCAGGGATGTACCTTGTGGTTATAACTGTCTGCTATATAAATCTGACCGTCCTTTGCACATAAGACACCCAAGGGATTCTGAAGAAGTACATCAGACCCTACACCATCATGGACTCCAAACTGCAATGGCCGGTATGCATTCAATGATCATCAGCAGAATTTAATGAACCAACAAAATTTAGCTAACTATAAATTACAAACTTTAATTGACTTTTCTGCGCACTGCGTGCGTATCTGCTCTGTATTATCTTTTTATAAACTAGTTTTAAAGAATACCCGAAGCAAATTCTCAGAGAAAACTGGTTCACCACCAGCTAGCTATCTTGATCCTCCTGTTTTCAGATCAAGAGCTCGAATGGAGCTACTCTCACTATCAGCATAATATGCCAGCATCAGATCTGAAAACAACCATTTTAAGTAGATGTTCCTTGAAAATCAAAGATAGTCTGAAACATTTCAGGAATGTACAAAAATGATGAAAACTATCAAAGTATTCCAAATATTACCCGAAGACAACGATATTCCAGAAGGTTGTGCAAAAGATGTGGTTGTAGAGCTACCTCAGTGACATGAAATAAAAATGTCAATGACAAGTGCATGTAGCCTATTGCAATGTATTTGATATGCATATATGTATAATATGAACCGAAGTTTAATTATAAGACAGGCAATTTAAGAAAGTAGATAAACATAAAGACGAAAAGCATGAAAAATGAAGTAATAGCTGCTCCTAGTTTCTGTATTTTGGCATTACCTCGATCCATTTAAGTTTCTTTCATATCCATTACCACTAAAAGCTCTAGTAGATCCATCTTGTATGTTATGCTCCCAAATTTGGTGCTGGCCAGCCATTGTAAAAAACATTTCATGCATCTAACTTGAGGGAAGACATTGATTGAGTAGCCAATGAATTATATTAATCAAGTTTGAAGTTTGGAAGGTCAAGGTGTTGTAGTCTTGCCTGAGAGTTTCCTGTTCCACCTCCTGTGTAATCAGAACCTTTCGTTCCATTTCCAGCAAGAGTTCGAACCTTCTCACTAACAAAATCAATTTCCCTACAATAACATCCATTAGAAGGAAATAATGAATTAGTGTGGGACAGATAGGAATCTTAGGGAAAGAGAAAGACTGAAACAGTAAAGAAATAGTTCTTTTAAATATGTTGTGCACAAGTGCCCTGGACTTGATGAAATAATGCACATTGTACACATGCAATTAGAAGGAAAAAAAATAATGTCGTCATTCTTTCACTATCTAGACAGAAGAAAATGTGAACTTTTCAGGCTTTCAAACAGTTAAAACTTAGCAAGTCGCCGCACACCTTAAAGCATGATTTTCAGTATCGGCAACATAAAGAAGATTCTTCTTTGCATTGTAAGCCAGACCCTATAGAAATACAATGCCACTATTTTAACAAAGACAAGGAAATAAAACATCAAGGAAAAAGAAAAAGAAAATCAATGCTCTAGGCTGTCAACAACTGTTGCAGTAATATTAACTTATCACCTGAGGGCGATTAAATGTAGCATCATCAAAGGAACCATCACTTAGGCCCTCTTCTCCCGTGCTTCTAATTTGGACGATGAAGTTACCATCTAGATCAGTTACCTCCTGAACTCATGGTTTATAGGTGTTACTAAATCCTGTCACTTCATTGCGGTGTCACCTAGGATGCCACCATTTAATAAGATAAGAAAAGACTCTAAATAGTTGGATAGCCTGATAATGCTATTGCTATCGGAAACTAACATTCTCTCTAGCAATACCGAGTACAGAAGTCAGAAGAAACTAATAAAACTTTGCAAGCTAATATTACTCTTCCTAACATCAAGAACTTTTTCTATAGGCTGCCATCAAGAACTTTTTCTATAGGCTGCTTACTTTCGGAAATGTGCACAGGTTCGTGTGAATGGGTGTGCATGTGAATGAACACTTTTCAGGAACCTGAGTACATATCAATTTGAATACCAGTGAGTGAGAGGGAGAAAACCTACTATGCGGTTATGGTTACTATCTGAAATGAAGAGGCGGTTGTTAAGAATATCAATTGCCAGTTTGCCAGGAAACTTTAGAGGAGATGTAATCATGCGAGGATCATTGTCTTTTTCCAGGTTCAGTGGAAGTGGTTTGTTGTCCAACAATTTTCATGAATCCAGACATTCAATAAAAGTTGAACTACAATGAGGCCTATATTCATGCTAAGAAACAAAAGAATAAAAAAAGATGAGAGAGAGTGTCAGGGAGAAAGTGGGAGAGAGAGAGAGGTTTTCAGTTGGTCAGTTTTCCGGTGAGGAGTGGACGGTTTTCGTTGACAATCTGAGTAAAAGGGTAACTAGGAAAACTCTTAAGGAAATTTTTCATCAACAGGGGAGTGTTGTTCGTGTCTACATTCCGAATAATTCCAACAAGCCGAATTATAGAAAATTATACGTTTGCTTCGTCCAGTTGCTAATGATGGGTTGTTGAGGCGAGATAGCAAAATTAATGGTATCTGGATTGATGGTAAGAAAATTTCAGTAGAGTGCTAAGTACCAGAAGAAGAGACTAAAGCAGGCTGTTAGAAGTAACGACAGTAAGGAAGTTGATAAGTGGGAAAAGGATACGCATCGGAGTAGAAGAGCTGGGCCTGAATCTTATAGCCGACTGAGAGATGAGAGATCTTACAAGGAGGCGTTAGCGTCTTTGGATGGAAGGAGAGAAGGTCCGGCGTCTAAAGTGATTTGGGAAGGCCATAAAGACAAGGAAGTAGGGGTGAGGAATTTGTGGGAAATGCATATTCCCCCAGACGAATATGATTGGTGAAAAGATCAATAACTGGGATCATTAAATCCCATTTTGATCTGGGGACAGTAGTGAAGGGGTTGGCTAGTAAAGGGATCAGGTCAAGGGAACTAAATGGGGTTATACCTGGAACTCTTGCATTATAACCTTTGGGTCGAAGGAAGAGTTCGAGGAGGCGTGGAAAACAGAAGGGATGAAGTGTCACTTTGGTTCGACTGGCTTGATCCACTTATGAGTGTAGATGGAGTCCCGATGGCTTTCTGTTCAGTGGAGTTGCATGGAATCCCTTTACTATGTTGTAATGGATCTTTTTTGGAAAAGCTGGTCTCAAGGGGGAAATTGGTGTGTATTCATGAGTTCACGATCAGAAGAGGATTTGGCGGTGGCAAGAGCTTTGTTGAGGGTGGCGAGTCCTTATGATATACAGGATTCTGTTACCTTGGGTGCATATGGGAGATCGTATAAGGTTAAGATTAGTGTGGGATCGGTCAGTTATAAACAGGAGAGTTTTTTTTGCAGAAATTCTTCAGGTGGCCGGAGATGGTGTGTCTAGAGTTGATTCTTCATCGGAAGAGAAAGAAGTCCGGAGTTCAGGTGGAGTAGGTAGCCCACAATTGCCAGCTGAGAATTCTAGGGACACAGTACAGATGGTTGGTAGGTGATGTCTGCACAACAGTGGCAGGAGGCAGTGGAAGTAAACATTTAATACTGCAGGAAGGAGAAAGTCAACCTAGTGGTGCTAAGGTGTCAGGTTTTTCTGCAGAAGATTTGAATTTTAAAGAGGACTATAGGGGCCTGGTCTAAGGAATGTCTCTATTAATGAATTTGAAGAAGCCCATTTAGAGGCTCAAGTGAGTCCAATACAAATATCTACAGAATAGTACCTTCTGGGCCAGCTGTTAATTTATTAAAACTGGGATATGGTAACCGTTTGGAGTCTCGGGTGGAATTTGCAGGTTCTCAGCAGCAATCTGATTCAGATAAATAAGGTGCAGAATTGGGCTAATGTCTCGGCAGACTTAAATCCAAATTGTTGCCTGCTGGGTCTTCACAATCTAACAGGGAGTATGATTCACCAGCTAATAATCTAATTCCAGGGGGGCATGATGTTAATTAAGTAGGATGGAGGTTCAAGGAGAGTTTCAGCATTCTGTTTTGGTAGACTCAAAATGCAGAATTCGAATACTGATTTGTCAGGTTACAAACATATTTCGATTGAGGGTGGGTTCACGGATAGAGTACAGTCTCAATCTGAAGGGATCTCAAATAAGCCAAATAAGGATCTGTTAGAGGAAGTAGTAGTCTTGGAAAGGAAGATTGTAGGGGGGTTGGAACTGAACTGATTAGGGATAGAGACAGATCGTTGTTCCAGCATAGAAGAACATTTTGTCCCAAAGTTTGCCCATAGAGAGGAGGAAATGGCCAGCTATAAAAGACATTATACCAGGTCGAGGGTGAGAATTAACTGGTTTGAGATAAACACAAAGGTATTCCGGTGAGAAAGGATTTGCAGCCTCCTTCAATAATATGGAAGGTGAAGGGAAGTGATTTTAAATGGTGCAGCTGATGATCAGAACCCTTATGTGGCACCAACTAATTGTAATAGTTCTCGGAGGTCTTGGCAGTAGTTCCTTTCTCTGCTGTAGGGTCAGAAAGGTCTAAAAGAAGGGAGAGAAGAGTTTTAACAAGGGAAGCAGTTGATATGGTTAATTCTCCTTTAGTTTTTACTCCTCAGTTCTCGAAGGCGGTTGAGGAAGCGATGGTTACATGGGAAGTATGTAAAGTTCTAGGAATTTCTTTCAAAGATGGGAAGAAGGCTTTTTGGACAAAATTATCAACCTTGAAGAGGGTTCGGCTGAGAGTAGGGAACAGGGAAGTCAGGGTTTAGTCTCTATTTTTCTGGAGACTAGCTATAAGGATTTGGTGTAGATCTTCTTGATATGATAAATGTCAACATTATTCTTGGAATGTAAGGGGTCTTGGAAAAAAGGAAAGTCAAGAGTGGTAGCTAATTTGGTGAAGAAGAATAAGCCGAACTTGATTCTAATTCAAGAAACAAAACTAGAATCTGTTTCTTTGGCTCTTAGAAGAAGGATAGGGGGAGATTCCTTAGAGGAGGGATTGTTGCGCCAGCAGTGGGATCTGCTGGTGGATTGATGATTATGTGGAATGAAAATGATTTTGAAGTTTCGAACACCCATCTTAATGGCAGATTCATAGCAGTCTTTGGGAAGTTCAGAAATTCAAGTGAAGAGTGTCTGATTATCAATGTATACGGTCCATCAATTGAAGCAGAAAAGGAAGATTTCTTCAGGGAATTGTTGGAGTTTGTTTCGGCTCAAAATATGTTAGTGTGTATTGGGGGAGATTTTAATGTGTATCTTGATCCGGACGAGAAGTTGGGAAAAATCACAAAACTGGCATTCTATTGATTTATTTAGAAACTTCTTACAGCAATCACATTTAATTGATCTACCGTTGGTGGGAGGAAGGTATACTTGGTGTAATAATAGAGAAGACTCGACTTGGGAAAGACTAGACAGGTTCTTAATCTCTGGGACGTTTCTGTCATTTTCCAAATGTAGGCAAAGTCTCTTGCCTAAATCCCTATCTGATCATAATCCTGTCTCATAGAGGACAAAGCTGTTAATTGGGGACCGAAACCATTCAGGTTTTTTAATTATTTACTAGAGGAGGAAGGATTTGAGGAATTGGTTAAATCTTCAATGCTTGCTATGAGGGGAGAAATAATAAAAGGGGTATTTTCAGTATCTTAAAAGGTACTAAAAATTCAATCAGAAATTGGTCCAGCAGTAAATTTACTGGGATCCCTGAGTCGATTCTGATTAGAGAGGAAAATTAATGAATTGGATCTTAAAGCTCAAGGTGGAATTCTTTTGAAGCAGGAGTGGGATCAGTTGAGGCTGTGTAGGACAAATCTATGGAGGTTGTATAGGACAGAAGAAAGCATCTGGTTTCAGAAGTCAAGGGCAAGATGGATCAAGGAGGGGGATAGGAACACAAGGTTTTTTCATCTGTCTGCTCTGAACAGAAGCAAAAGAAATGAAATCTTAAGCTTGAAGATAAATGGGAGTGTGGTTTCAGATCCTCAACAATTAAAGGTACATATTTCAGAATTTTTCAAGGCAGCCTATAATTCCAATTCAACATTGGAAACGGAGGATTTACTACTGGATTTTGCTAAGCTATCAGGGGATCAGTCTAAGAAGCTTGAAGAGCACTTCTTAGAACAGGAAATTTGGCAAGCTATAGTCTCATCAGACAGCTCTAAAGCTCCAGGACCAGATGGTTTCACCATGGGTTTCTTTAAAAACTGCTGGCCGATTTTAAAGGAGCACGTGGTGAAATTTTTTGAAGATTTCTATTTTGGAAGGAAATGGGAGCACGGTATAAACCATGCTTTTATCACACTTATTCCGAAGAAGCTTAATCCGGACAGTGTAGAGGAATTTAGACCAATCAGCCTTGTAGGCAGCTTATACAAGATACTTTCTAAAGTTCTTTCGAAGAGACTGAGTTGTTGTGTTGGTGATATTATTAGTCACTCTCAGTTTGCGTTTATACCAGGGAGACAGTTGCTGGATTGTGCTTTTATAGCAAACGAAGGGATTGATTACTGGAGGAAAAAAGGGTTAAAAGGGGTTACCTTCAAAGTAGATTTTCGTAGGGCTTATGATTCCGTGGAATGGCCAATTTTAATTAGAATAATGTCAGAGATGGGTTTTGGTAAGAGATGGTTGTCGTGGATATCTCAGTGTATTTCAACAGCTTCAATCTCAGTTCTCGTAAACGGGTCTCCATCGGAAGAGTTCCACATGGCCAAAGGACTTAGGCAAGGGTGCAGTTTATCTCCGCTATTGTTTAACATTGTAGGTGAGCTGCTTAATTTGATGATATCTAAAGCAGTGGACAGGGGTCTGTTTCAAGGCTTTGTTATTGGGGAATCTGAAAATTCTGTTCGATTGACACATCTACAATTTGCAGATGACTTGATCATCTTCTGTCAAGCATCTCTCTCCCAGATTAAAAATGTCAAGAGAGTATTGAGGATTTTTAGTGTTATGACAGGGTTGCATCTTAATCTAGCTAAGAGTAAGCTATTTGGTATTAATGTGGAAGAGGAAGTTTTATCAGAATGGGCATCTTCGGTGGGCTGCTCTATTGATTCTCTTCCAACAGATTACTTGGGACTTCCTCTAGGTGCTAAGAAAAACTTAGAAGCCTTATGGGATCCAGTTTTCAAGAATTTTAGTTCCAAACTAGCCGGCTGGAAGCTAATTGTCTCTCATTGGCGGGCAGGACAGTTTTATTAAAGTCGGTGTTAACATCCCTACCAATATTCTTCTTATCTCTTTTTAGAATGCCTTGTAAAATTGGTAAGAAGCTTAATTCTTTAATGGCCAGTTTCCTATGGGGGATAATGAGGACAAAAGGAAGATACACTGGGTTAATTGGAAATCAGTCTGCACGCCTCTAAATTGTGGTGGCCTTGGTGTTCTTGATGTGAACATATCTAATCGGGCTCTTTTGGGAAAATGGGTGTGGAAGTTCGCCAATGAAAAAATACTTTGTGGAAAGTGTGTTATGTTGCAGGCACAAGGTAAGTAGTAATTCCATGTCTATTTGTAAGGTTTTTTCGCCCAAATCTTCTTGGATTTGGAGAGGGATTGCCAACATTTCTTGAAGAACGACTCGGAGGTGAACGTATCAGATCTAACTCCAAGTTGAAACTGGGAAATGGAAAGTCTATTGCATTTTGGACGGATTCATGGGCTGATGAGTCTCCTTTAAAATATCTTTTCCCTAGAATGTATGCGTTGTCAAAATAAATGGGGTATGGTCGCTGAGTTTGGAAGTTCAGATTCGAACGGTTGGGTGTGGAACATCGATACCAGAAGGAATTTGTGTGACTGGGAGTTGGATCAGTGGCTGGATTTAATGACAAAACTGAAGGACTTTAAACTGACTGATTCAGTTGAAGACTTTCTTTCTTGGTCTGCAAGGGGATGGACTGTTTTCAGTGAAATCCTGTAGAAAGGAACTCGGCAAGGTGTCTGGGGAGTCCGATTTATGGGTAAAAGGGGTGTGGCAGGGTTTATCTCCTCCTCGTGTTGAAGTCTTCTGTGGCAGCTAGCTCATCAGAAAGTGGCAGTGAGAGAGGAGTTGGTGAAAAGAGGTTTGCAGCTAGGGGATGAAATTTTATGTCCGTTTTGTAAAAAACAGGGGAATCAGTTCAGCATTTATTTATTTCATGTGATGTTGTTTGGGAACTTTGGAACAAGATAGCAAGCTATTGGGAAATAGCCTTAGTCCTTCCAAAGGATCCACCTTCTTTGCTATGTTCTTGGGGTGAGCTGAGGGGGAAATCGTTGATTTGGAAATTTATCCCGGGAGTAGTTTTGGTCGATATGGAAAGCTAGGAATGCAATGGTGTTCGATGGTTCCCCCTTGGATAGGATGTCTCTGTTTTTTATTGCTAGATTCAGGTTATCTAAATGGTTTCTAGCCAAGTATCCTAAGTGTCCTATTCAGGAGGATGTGCTGATTGGTGATCCATCTCTTGCAGATGGTATTAAAGCTCTCAACATTTACAATTTTCAGGTTTCTCGCTGGATTCCACCCCCTATGGATTTTTTGAAGATGAATGTCGATGGAGCTGTTAGACTGGATGGCTCAAATGGAGGTATAGGAGGTATTTTGAGAGATTGGAATAGCAATTCCCTTCTGACTTTTTCAGAAAATGTAGGTCAGGGTCCCCCGCCGGTTGCTGAGTTAAAGGCTATTAAGAGAGGCATTGAAATCTATATGTCTTCTTGTTGGGTTAAGGTTGGAAGGTTGATTGTGGAAAGTGACTGTAAGTCGGCTGTGGAATGGGTCCATACACCAGCTATGGCCCCAGTTTTTATCCTCCCATTAGTTAAAGAGATTTCATCTTTTATCACGGACAGGGTGCACTCTATTAGACTGATTCCAAGGGTGTGTAATGGGGAGGCTGATAGTTTAGCAAAGATGGGAATTGGTTGATGTTTAGTCGTTTCCAGTGCGTTTTATCGTTTGAGTTTAGGTTTTCGGTTATGTTGAGTAGCTTAGTCTGTTGTGTTTTTTTCAGTATGGTGTCTACGTTAAATCTTATGTAATTTCGGAGGAGTAATAAAGTTTCTAAGGCACTCTTTTCCTCCTTCTTTGATCAAGAAGGAGGTTTTTAAGGAGGCCTGTCATTCTTATCAAAAAATAAAATAAAAGTTGAACTACAACCATCTTATTCATAAAAGGCTACACGATTTATGATTAAAGTCTTTTACTAAATGAGTATTATTTAGAAATGAGAATCAAATTACAAACATTGCATCAAAGTGGGGGAAAATTATTGCAATAGATGAAAAATCCCAATATCCATCGTCCTTTGATCGGGTAAAAATCCAAATCTACACAAATATCATCTCTAGAATTGATGAGGTAGTACGATTGAAGGTTGAAGGTCAATCGTTTAACGTCCTGGTTCGCGAGATCGATCCGAGTTTCAAGCCTATTCCTTGGGTTCCCGAGGAAGATGAAGAAGACACGATTGCCCATGACAATGAAGCTCCTCCCACTGGTCGATGTTCCCCTGAGGCTTCACCAGGTTCCTCTCCACTTGGATTAATGGAAAACTTGTCGAATCAGATTGGGAAAGAAGTTGTGCCTGGCGGTGGAACCAATGGTGGTGAGATGTGTTTGGCTTCAAAGCCATGTTCAGTTTTGGGGTCTTCCTTACCTTGTGCCCTCGATCGATCAGATCAAAACGTTGAGGAGTCTCATGCCTTGGAAGACGGTCTCAGTAGTGGGGCAATAGGTGATTCTAACCGGTTGCAGGGAAAGGGTCTTCGGAAGGGATCAAAGTGCGGAAAGAGAAAAAAAAACCTCGCGAATCTAAAAGTAGCAAGCAAAAGGATGAAGTGGCTTAACTATCTCGGACGAATATTGGGTTTTTGTCTGTTAGCGGTTTTGGAAGGAGTTTTAATTGATTGGAGTGTGTTGCTTCTCCAAGATATAGATGGTTAGCCGTTAGGAGTCGGTTGTGTTATATTAATGGATTTATGTACTGCTTTCGAATATTTTTGGTTTTTAGTGATGTGAGGCTTGGGATAGGTGTGAGTGGGTATCGGATAGGGTTGACCTTGTAATATTTGGATGTTTAAGGGGGATTTTAGAGATTTTATGGTTGAGATGTGGTGTATGTATCTTATTGGGGTGTTATTTCATACAAGGTGTAATGGTTATATTATTTAATAAATCATGAGGTACTCTTTTCCTCCTTCCAATTTTCGTTGACATACGTTTTAGTATGTTGATGATTATGAAGGGGGTTTTTAACGAGGCCTCTAATTCTTATCAAAAAAAGAAAGAAAGAAATGAGAATCAAATAAACAGTAAAGATTTAATTATCAGAATGGAAGATCCCTCAAAAATGATAATGAGACCGGCAGTAGTTTTGAGTTCTCGCTAGTTCTATTTCTTGGTCACTCCAGGAATCAATTCATATCTTGAAAGGCAGAGCATGTTTCAATTAAGTGATAAGCTTCGTAATTATCAAATCCACTCCTTGATTGAGATACACAATTGATGAAAAGTATAACATATTAACAGATTATTGAAATTATGTGACACAAGTATGTCATAAGTTTTCAGAATAACCCTTAATCAAGATTCACTGTTGCTGAGCTACCATAGTGCTAACTTAAAGTGCATCTTTCAAGAAGCATTTAAATATCCAGAAGTTTAGAAACTATATCACTTGGATTTTGAAGTCTTTTCAACCCTTCTAACACTTTTAAGTTTTAACCCTATTTAAAGTCTATTTATCTATTGCCAATAATTCTTGGATGGTAAGCAACAATGAAAACTACACCCTAACATTAAAGTGTGCAACAAATTGCATGCAAAAGGTACAAATCTTCCCAATATAATTTTTTAAATGCAGCTACATCAAAGGGTCAAGTCACATGAATGGATATGCACAGCTGCACAAGTAACATCTCTATTGTATTGATATATTTGCAGCGAGACAAATGAGTCATTGTTACCTTTCGGTGGCCTTCACCTGCTATTTGTGCTAACAGCTTACCATTGGGTCCAACGATGGAAAATGTAGGCCAAGAATTTATACCTAACTCTCGCCATAAATACATATCTCCATCATTGACAACCTAAATCATAAATCTTCATATGGTAAGCTTCTTTAAAAATTAATAAATAAAGAAAAGGGAGAGGAAAATAGGAGACGAGCTACCCAAGAAGATTATCAGTAGATGAACAAAAATTTATTATAAGATATATAATATTGATTAGATATCAGGGGGGGGGAAAGGGTCGAGACTTGCTCATGTTATTTATATCTCTGAAAAAAAATGATTCTTCCACAGTTCATATTATTTATATAAAAAGGTATCTGTTCAGTTATGACTCATTACATGGATCTCATCAGTTAAAAGAAATCAACTCGGACATGCTGGATGAATTAAAGACTTCGGTTTGCCAAGAAAACTATCTACCTAAAACTTAGTTCTACTTCTATGATGCCCAAGCACATTTAGAAAGTTAAGGGTTCTGCTTAATGTATAACCCAAGAATTCAACTTACAGGATGCGGGATGTCATAACGCAGTACTGCATTACGGATGGCCTCTAAATCCTTCTCGTTATCAAACTTTTCTGACTGCACTCCGATAACAGTGAACTGTAGAAATAGCCACCCAAAAACCAATCTGATACAGGAATACAGTTAAAGATTTGGCATCCATTGAGAATTTTGAAATTAATTACATTCAGTATATCAAATATTAAATAGTTAGATTGCATACAATATGTCTTTTGTCTTTCTTTCTGTTCATCTCAAATCTTGACTCTTATTTTTACCACAATTTTTACACAGATATAGAATTACCACTAATTACATAAAGTTTATCTTGGAGAACCTTTTTTAACCTGCAATTTTTCCCCTCTAAGCATATTTAATCCCAAAATTTCAATCTTCACTCTAACGCCTCCAAAACTATGTTTGTGCCCTTTTTCTTGTAAGTTCCCAGCTGCACATGCATTAATTGTTGGCAAAACTACTCAACCCTAAAAAACTAACAAAATTGATAAGAAAATATCACACTGAGAAATTCTGAATAGCCATAAGATGAAACTTGTTTCATTTAGTGAGAGGAGAGGATCTTACAGGCTTATCTTTGTATTTCTTCTCCAAAAAGTCTAGATCTGGTAAAACATGCATACAGTTTATACAACAATAGGTCCAGAAGTCGAGCAAAACTACTTTTCCTTGCAAATCCTGCTCAAAATGTATTAAATCATGGAATCTCACATTGAATTACATTATCTCAAAATATAATTAAAAAATTGTTCTGAATTGATGATTTTCTATAGCTGAGACTGTCCTGATATCCCAACCAGAAATAAATATAGATGTATTTTTTCTGAAATGAGCCATATTGGTGGTGAAGAGGGCATACCTTTCATGATTAATAGCCATTTTACTTTCAATTCTAGTTAACAAAGAATAAGAATAAGAAAAGACATTGATTCCATAACTTGGAAGTTAGAAAAAAACTGATGTTGCTCTCTCCTTAAGCCTTTTCACTTTGAGCATGAAACTTCTTATATACATTAAAGGCTACATAGCATGTGAATATATGGTTGGAATGAGCCCAAAGAATTTTCCCTTTGAAACTGAAGTGGTGCCGTATTCAGGCAGTCAAGCTTTGCAGGAAATTCTGGCACTTTAGGAGCAGTTCCTCTTACAAAAGTGAAAGACGATACATTTAAACCAAGTAAGTGAAAAATTTAAGAAAGGCAATTAAAAGAAAAGATGCTGCATGAAGCTGAAAAAAATGAATGACATAAATGATAAGAATGAACCATTAACAGTGGAGAAAGAGAACTTCTTACCTGGATTCCAGAGCAGATAAATAATTCACGAATTGTTGAACTCTTGCAGAACGTGATCCATCTATAACCAATCAAATGCAGCTTGGTTTGAGACTATGGCTTCATATGACTTGAGCATATTTTAGATCTTCATAGCAGTTTTCTTGTTAACCAATTGGTAGGGAAAGTGGGGAGTCCAATTTGAATATAAGAGCACAAGAAATCCAAGACTTAACAGATGTGAGATAGCACCACCTAACACTCTCCTCAGGTGAAGTTGAACGAGGCCATGGACAACCTCACATGGGTATCAACAGAACAGAATGGGCTTTGATATCATGTTAGTTATAAAACTTAAACCGATTGGTAATAGGCGGAGGGTTCAACTTGATTGTAATACCCGAGAAACCTAAGATTTAAGAAATGTAAGATAACGCCACTTATCGCTTCTCATATAGAATAGAGCACGTTTAAGATTAGAAGAAAAAGAATATGGCACAAACACTAAAAGAATTGCTCGACACATACTGTACCTTCGGTTGGACCAGAAAATGGGTTTTGAGCTGCAAACAACGTATTCCAAATTGCTTTTGGTGATGCTATTGCATTGCCTGTGAAAAAGGTCAGATCGATGATTGCACATAAATCATACAATAACAAGAATACCAAAAAAAGTAATAATAATAATAAAACAAGAAGAATATAATGCCTTTCCAGTATCCTTGTGAAACCAAGTCAGTTGTACCTTCCAGTTTGTAAGAGCGAAGTAGAGACAAGATAAAGCAATACCCAAACTTCCATATCTTAATATGTCTCGCCTAGAGCCCTGCAACATGCCATAAATTATTTCTGCAACCTCAAGTAGTTTCAATAACTCCTTTGCTTATTGATAACAGAAAGTCAGTGAAAACAATTTCATTCTGATGGGTGAAAGTTTTGTCGTATGTTAAATGTTGTAAGCTAATTACAGACCATACATGGCGTGAGTTGAACAAATTTCATCTATAAAATAAGATACATCTTAAAGCTGGATACCAAAATTTCAAGTCCAAAAGAACTTTTATGAGGAAGAAAATTTTAAATTTTTAAATGATAAGAGACAATGTTTTTTTTTTGATAAGAATGACAGGCCTCCTTAAAAACCTCCTTCTTGATTAAAGGAGGAGGAAAAGAGTGCCTTAGAAAATTTCAATTCTATTGATTAAATGATAAGAGACAATGTAAGTTCAGCTTTTTGCACACATATGGGTTACATCTTACCCTTAACAGAGAAGACATCACTAGGGACATCCACACCAAGGGTTGATCCATTATAAGTTCTTTCATTGAGAACTGTTGATGAATTTTGTTCAGAAACTTGCAGAAACTGCATATCCTGCACCGTCTTACTTGCAACAATATGTTCTTATTAGAACTTTATATGCCAAAATCTACATGCCCTAGTAATTACTCAGGAAAAGAATGGGTAGAAGGATATTAAATGCCGCTTAGGTTAAAGGTGAGCACTTTCCACGTAATTTCATCTAATTCAAGATCAAAATTTAGTAATACTAGCTTGTATGTGCACAAGGACGGATTTTATCAATAGAATTGAAATTTTTCCAGTACATAGGATACTCATTACAAGAAAGTGCCAAAAAAAAGAACACTGAAAAGCATCACCAGTTACAATGTTGATAGTACAAAATGACATTTGCAGCATATTCTCAGGACTACAGACTATAAGCACCTGAGCCACCACTGAGAGTATCATCAAGCAAAACACTTCCTATATCATTTCTGATAAACGATGGACCAACAGCTTTTAGAGCCTCTTCTGTCAATGTAGTTGTCACCGCTATACATCTGCAGCCATGGAGAATGATTAGAATTTACTATAAAGTTACTCCATTTCTGTATGATAAGAGAAGCAAATGGTTGACATACAAAACCTGAAAAACTAAAATATCATGGTAAGAAAAGGGAAGCAGATGGTTTTGAAACAACATACTAATCCTGTATGCAAATAATTTCCTTCACCTAAATTGAGAACATTTAAAAAAAAAAACGCATAATTGAAAGAAACATGCATATAGGATCATTACCTCATATTTGCTGCATTAGCTGCCTGTACTCCAGCCACAGCATCTTCAATAACAATACACTGGCAAATAATAGGCAGATGTCATATTCCTCAGCAGGAAAACTACAATGTCACTTTAGAAAACAAAGAGTTCTAACAACTGAAATCTGCAGGATTATTAGAGCAAGTATATGAAATTTTCCAACCAAGTAACAAAGCTATCAAAATTCCACATTATGACCACCCATGAGAGAAATGGGAAGTACCATAGGAGCATGAAACATGGCAACATCAGTAAGTTTGTATATAGAAGAAAAATCCATTCTCTCTTTCACAGAAATACAAATAAAATTTGCAAAAAGTATACAGGAGAATCACCATTCTCATGCAGAGTAACTCTTTCGGTAAATGAGAAGGGAAGAAAGACGTTTCAATTGGTAGAGGGGAGAGAATTAGGTATACCTCTTCAGGGGAAATGTCTAATATCTTTGATGCAGCTAAGAAAATATCTGGAGCAGGTTTCAGATTCTCGAAAGCATCTGCTGACACAATAGCATCGAACCTGGTATAAAAAGGCTAGAACCATAAGAAGAAGAAAAGAACAGAAAGAATGATGCTGCAAAGCTAAAAACTGAAAATTTACAACCACTATATGCATCTAAACAACTATATTAGGTTGGCTTACATCGATATTGGCAATCCAGAAGCAGCTAAGTTAGCATCAACCTTGACACGATCAGCACTGGATGCAACACCAACTTTGAGGCCTTTGTTTTGACACTGTCACACAGAATACTCCATCATATGGCATGAATCTGATGTGGCATCATTATCTCATTTGTGACAATTGGCATACGTACCTGAGTAATGAGCTCAAGAGCACCTGGGAATCCTATTCCAGAATTTGGTTTTGCATACTACGAGAAGGACATAACATTTTGTGTGAAATTTTGTTCATTGAAAAACACTAAAAATCAGCATTGAAAGATTGTAGTTTCATAAGAAGACACGCCTACTCTATATAAAAAGGACTAATTACCTTATCTAGATATATCTCAAAGAATCTCTTTTTCGCTGCCTCAGTGTCAAATTCTTTAACACCCTTAACAGCAGCAACGCCTCCTAAAAAGTTTGCTTCACCTGGTATATCAGCAAAGTAGAAAAAGGCAGGTAAGATCACAGATTTACATATATACAATTAATCAGCTACATTCCTGAAAATTCATACTTTTCTGAATCAATCAAATTTAAGGAAGACTATCCATAACATAATAAACTTGAATCAACAGCAAGGGATGAACCTAAGATTTTTACCCATTCCAGTGAAAGGAGCTAAGTCCTCAGCAGTGCATTGGACACCCATTTCTGCAAAAAACATCAACAGCTGCCTTCCTGGAAGGGTTCTCACTATTGCACAATACACCGTCCATGTCAAAAAGTACTGCCGACACCTTGCCCCATCCTTGTTTACCAGTTTCTTTCACGTTCGTTTCTTCCAGTTTAACACATGTCGTTACCACCATTTTCCTCGTGAAACCTCTGCACTTGGATCTCCATTGAAAGAAGGAACTTGTTTTGGTGATGGGATGAAGAAGAGCTTTGCTGGGTGAGATAGAGCAGTTGGAGTTGAGAGTAGTCTCACGGCCATAGCTCAAGTCAGTTTTCTGTTTCGAGTGGTGGTTAGTGGTTTCCAGGCAAGGAAGTTTTTTCAGGATTAAATTGGCTTTTTCCTGGACCAAATCATCATTTATGTGATTACACTATGCATCTGAATAGTGGTTTCAAGTTGGGTTTTTTGTCCTTCTAGTGCACTGAAAATGATTGGAAATATAAGTGGTGGAGAAAAAAGACATCGTCTTGGGCTGGATTTTCATTTAAGGCTCTGAATAATTGGTGCTTTATCCACTTAAGTGTTAGAGGGAGAGAAGCAACCATTCTTTTCATTTATCTGTATGGTTAGAGTCCAATTCCAGCCTCGGATACTGATCACAAAAAATTTAAGGTAAATTATCTATTTAATATCTAAACTATCAGTTTTAATCTATTTTAGTACTTAAACTTTTAATATTTTAATCTATTTTAGTACTTAAACTTTCAATGTTTTCTCAAATCATACTTAACATTTAGTTTTTATTTCATTTTAGTAATCCGTCATTAAAAACTTAACAGATGGGTTGACGGGGCACAACTCCGGTGGACGGACGACTAAACCGAACGGTGGACCACGAGAGAATGATGAGTCGACCAACATAGTACAGTTTAAGGCTCATCGAACGGTTGACAATGGAGATCGAAAGATGAAGAAGCCAAATAGTCAATCGTCGATTTGGGGAGATTGTGACATTTTCCGATGAAACGGAGACCAAAATCATGTTCAGGGTGTTAAAAAGGTGCAGGCTGGAAAGTTCGACCGACAGATGCTACGACCAACAATTATAGACGTGGCGGCCGACGAGCCCGTTCGTTAAGTTTTTAATGACGAGTACTACAATGAAACAAAAACTAAACGTTAGGTATGATTTTCCAAAAATTGAAAGTTTATGTACTAAAACAGATCGAAATTGATAGTTTAAATACTAAACGTGTAATTTACCTATATATATATATTGTTTAGATCCACTTACACGGTATAAAATAATAAGTTTTACATCAATTTATAGCCATTATATTTAAATAAATAAATTACCTGGATTTAATTAAAATTTATAACTAATAATATTTCTTTCACTTTAGTGTTAGATTTTAGAATTTAAGGTTTAAGATTCAAGTTTTAAGGTTTGGGAGTTAGAGTTTAGAGCGAGGATTGTAGGGTTTGGGTTATCGTAATATTAAACTTTAGATTGCTCCTAAAAATAAAATTTAATTTAAGTCCTCTTAAAATAATATTTTCAAACTTCAATTCAAGAAAGATTTATAATTTGATCTTGGCTTCTCTTATGCCAAGTTTCTAGCTGCATCCTCGAAAATGAAAGTAGAGGTTGCTAATGGAAAAAATTGCCAAACGATTTAGCAGTGTTCTTAAGCGATTGTGAAGGTGGGCCATGAGTTCTGGTTACAACACTAATTATTGAACGGCTTACTCAATTAGGCCAAGAGTTGTAGGGTAGTCATGGAGATACCCACTAGAGAGCGAACGGAGGAAGATGATGAAAAATCACTCTCATCCATACCCAGAAACCAGAAGAGAATACGTAGCATATTGAGTAGTATATGTTTAGGGCGGCTGTAGGACATGAAAAATTTAGGATATGCCTCTTCGACGTAGCTGATGAGAATTTAGGTGGTTTTGTTGTAAAAGCTGCCCCCAGATTTAATAAATGTGCAAGATCATCATATTTATGATCATAATAACAAGTTTCGCTATATTCGGAATTATTTCATGTATTTACATGAAATAATTCAGGATATAGTAAGTAATTGAAACCCATGTTCATTGTCTGCTTTAATGTGTTATCATCTAAAGAGATCTGGCTAAATTAAAGACCTGCTATACAGAGGCTTATTTACCAAGTAATGATTTTCCATAGGATTTCCTTCCTATGTCAATTCACCGTTACACAATATATATATACAAGCCTATATGCACACTTGTCTGAAGAACATAGATCCATAGCTTGCTATCACTGAAGCAAAATGCAGTATAAACCACCACTCATGCTCATGTTGTTAACCCTTTCTTTGGGGATCTCCGTAGTCGATGCCGATGAGTGCACCGGAAGTGGTGGATCTCAAATTGCATACACCATCGTCGTAGACAAGTCCGGTGGTGGAAATTTCACCTCGGTTCAATCTGCCATTGATTCGATTCCGTCGAACAACGATCGATGGATCAAAGTTCATATTAATCCCGGTGTTTACTTGTAATTTTCTTTTCTTAAATGCTTATCAGTGTACCTTTTTTTTCCATCAGTTCAGTAACACAAGGTTGTTTCAGGGAGAAGGTAACTATTCCGAAAGATAAGCCTTGTGTTGTTCTTGAAGGACAAGGTCGTTCTGTCACGACGATTAGCTTTAACGAACACGATCAAACGGATAAAAGCGCGACTTTCACCTCCGCTGCGGATAATTTAGTTGCAAGTGGTATCACTTTTGAGGTAAAGCTTCAAGCCGTTTTTGTTTCATGTCCAAGTTACCAGATTCAACTTATGTGTATGTAACTCTTTGAGTTTACCAACTGTTGCTTCTATTGCAGAACTCCTTCAACCATCCATTGCTGATAAAACGTGCTCTGAACTACGGACAAGTTCCTGGGGTGTTACCGGCAGTTGCAGCAAGAATTTTAGGAGACAAATCTGCATTTTTTGAGTGCGGTTTCCATGGGGTGCAAGATACGCTGTGGGACGCGCTAGGCCGCCATTACTTCTACAAGTGCTACATCGAAGGTGGAGTGGATTTTATCTTTGGTATTGGCCAATCTTTGTACGAGGTAACCAATGAGAAAGAACAAAGATCATCCCGTTGACTTGTAACGCAAGCAATCAAAAACATGTTTCGCTATGTTTTTTTCCCCCACAGGACTGTTCGATCAACGTTACCGCTGGTGAATTTTCTTCGGAACTTCCGTACGGTTACATAACAGCTCAGGGCCGACAATCACCGGATGATCCAAGTGGCTTCGTGTTCAAAGGCGGAGTAATCTTCGGCACGCTGCAAGCGTATCTAGGAAGAGCCTGGGGACCTTACGCAAGAGTGATATTCCAGGACACAACGATAAACGCAAATGTGACCCCTCAAGGGTGGGATTCCTGGAAATTCCCTGGGAAAGAGTAAGTTTTTACTAAACCCAGTTCATAAACACATAATTTGCGTCTTAAAACTCTGTCCAGTCATTAATTAATGCGTGTTTGGCGTAAAAGAGAGAACTTTATGTATGCTGAGGTGGACTGCCAAGGACCAGGATCCGACACATCCAAGCGTGTTTCATGGGAGAAGAAGGTGAGTACAGGCCAAATGCAACAATTTTCACTCTCGTCTTTCGTTGACCAAGACGGTTGGATTAGCAGATTGCCATGAAAACAGACCAGAGATTTTCCCAGTTGTTCTTTTCCTTTCTGTTTTTTGCAAATGCAGATAGACTTGACAACCCTGTCCCTGGTTGATTTGATTTGTAGGATGACTTGTACAACACACACAGTTTCGAATTTGTAAACACAAATTTAAATACAAATTTGTTAGAACTATAATAATTCGAGACGATAAAAAGAAAATCTTATTAAAAGAAATTGATTCGCACAAATAGCGACAAATAACATTTCATTCCAAGACAATATCTCATCGTAAACACATATTAACGTCTATGATTCCAAATCAAACTTGCCTGATGTATATGTAATAAAGTCCATCTAAACTATAAAAGGATGGATGAATTGGGACATCTAACTCCCCATTACTTGTAGGAATTTAAAACTTTAAATTATAAGAGACTCATCTTTAGTTAAGTAAGGATTTAATATTTTTATATTTAATTTTTAAGTAGATCGAATAGAGACCAAACATGAGCCCCTGTACATATATATTTTCAAGAATATAAATTTGAAAAGACCTTAAAATTAAAGAAAAACATAAATTATTTCGAATAATTTCATAGAAGATTTTTTTATTGTTAGAGATCCAATAATACATTTTTTTTTCATTTAAGATTCTCTATTTTCAGATTTTTAGTCAAAAATATTGCTTCCACTTTTCATTATATTTCAGCTTCCAACTATGATTTTTTTTCTTGAAATGTATTGAAAAAAAATAAAATATTGTATGATTTTATTAGGAAAAGCTATGGTTTTTGGGTAGACAACGAAACATCATTGAGAACCTGAAATAAAATTTTAGCCTTATTATTTTGGGTGTTATTATCGTGAAGACTGAAAAGTCCTAATTGTCATTTGTGAGTGAGTTTAAAGTAGGAATTATTATTTGATCCTAAAAAGTTTTAAGTTAATTGAGTTGTTTTTTTTAAATTTTATAATTTAAATTTGATTTGATTTTTTTTAGTCGAGTTAAATTTTTTAAGATCCGAGTAAAATCGAAGTTGTTTGAACTTGTGTTTAAATTTTATTATAAATAATTATAATTGTAATACTAATTGATTTCAATTTAAACTATTTTCATAATCATATATATATATATATATAATGCCTATATTATGTAGATAGTCTCTTGACAACACTCCCAGTATGTTCCTCTTTGTATATCAGTTTATTCTCGACTCGGGTTTTATATCCTCTAACATTTTCCTTTTGTTCTATTCGTTTTCTTGATTAGGTACTATCAGAGGAGGAGCAGAAGGCTGTTTATGCAACTCCGGCGCACCCGCAGGCATTATATGGTAAGACATTTTATTTTAATTTATCAAAGCATAGTAGAATAATCTTAAAGACGTTCATATTACTAAGCTGTGGTATTACCAGCTGCTAACTTTAAGGACATTCATATTTCAGCATTTTATGCAAGCTGTCTGGCCGGGAATGTAGTGGAACAACTTTGGAATTTTGCTTGGCCTTCTGCTCTTGGATTGCTTCATCCAAGCCTTCTACCTGTGGCCGTCATGGGATTCTTCACTAAGGTATAGATGAGACTACCAGCTTAAGTTCACTACTATGACGGGATAATGGAATATTTTCTAACAGAATTTGTGTTAATAGTCTATTATCATCATTGGAGGCCCTTTGGTTGGAAAACTTATGGATCATTCTCCAAGAGTACCTTCATATATCTTTTTGAATGTTGTTCAGGTACTACAACTAACATTTTTTGTGGTTCAAGATCAATGTAAAATTAACAGAGTCCTAATTAGTTTTCTAAATTTATTGGCATCTTCCACGCTTCTCAATTGTTGTCAGCGGCAATGATAATTCATGCTCATAGTGTTTCTTCTACTTCTGCTTCATCTATTCTTCTATGTCCTTGGTTTGCTGTGCTAGTCTTAGCAGGAGCTATTGAGAGGCTATCTGGAGTAGCACTCGGGGTTGCTATGGAGTGTGACTGGGTCGTATTGGTATTACCCTATTCTGCGATTTTTTGTTGTTTTCACAGGAAATATTGATCATCCATCTCTAGGAAAGTGGACTGTGAATTAAACTAGGGTTCTTGTGTTTGAAGTTAGCTGGAATAAGTAGATCAATTGCACTGGCACAAGCTAATGCTGTTCTCAATCGAATCAACCTGCTCTGCGAGGTATTTGATAACCTTGAGATCTTATATATTTTGGAAACATTGGTCTATGGAGTTACCTTTTTTGGTTCAAGCCATCATAATTCTTTGTTTATTTGTAATACATAGAGCATGAATCCTAATTAAATGCTGGGAATTTTATAAGCTTGCAGTTATCTTAGCAGTCAAGTTATGGAAGAAATTTCTGAATGAGAGATTCATTATCATCCAATATTGCAGATAGCTGGCACTTCATCATTTGGAATTCTTCTCTCTAGATATGATCCAGTAACGTGCTTAAAGTTTGCTGCTGGGTTGATGATGTGGTCATTACCTGTTATGGTAGTTGCTTCTATTCTTGTTCTGATTATATATATCATTTGGAGAAAGGATCCACTTTCTCTTCTAATTCTAACAACATTCTTCACATTGCTCCGACATGGTTAACAAACAAACTTTCTACTGGAGTTCTTGACCGTGCTAAGTGTTCACAATCCTGTTGCATATCATCTGATGAGGGGCCTCTTCCAGATGTCGATAACTTCCGTAAAACTCGTTCATCTGATTACTATTCAAATCCCGACTTCGTTCTTGCTCTATTTAGGGATTGCATCTTTTCCAAAAATTGATTTTAGCTTGACATATAAGTTATTCTGTTTTTGTGGATGGCCAGTTAATACAGGTTTGGAAGCCATCAAGCTTGGCTGGAGAGAATACATACAGCAGCCAGTTCTTCCTGCAAGCCTAGCATATGTTCTCCTATACTTCAATGCTGTTCTCACTCCAGGAAGTTTAATGACGGCGTCTTTAACTCAACATGGTATTTTTCTATCTATATAGATGCAACACTCCTGATTGTTTATAGTTTCAACCGAATCTTGAGGAGAGTTTGCCAGTTTGGGAAAGATAACAAAAGCAAAAAAATATGTATTACAGCAAAGAGGGCTTACATATTCAGAAGACATGCTATAAGAGTTTTTGTCTAAATGTGATCTCTTAAAGCATAGCATTCAGTGACATGCCTAAAGTCGCTCCATGCCAATTGTTTATTGTAAATTACAGCCTTTTTTCTTCATTTGCTAGATTGCTCCTGATTACTTGAATGGGTTCTATATTTAAGCTGAGAAAAATAGCTTTGTATTATTGCAGAAATTAATTTTTGACTCCAAAGTGCTATGTGGTTTTGTGTAACAGGTTTAAATCCATCTATTATTGGGGGGTTTAGTGGATTATGAACTTTCATGGGTGTTGCGGCAACCTTCATATCTGCAACTTTGGTTGAGAGATTCGGCATTTTAAAGGTAAGGTTGGTTCTTTTGTTTGGTTTGCGTGCAGGAATTTTCTATTTTTAGGGCAGATCTAACTGCCATTTTCTCTTCAAACAGGCTGGAGCAGTCGGATTAATTTTTCAGGCTTCACTTCTCACCATAGCTGTTGCTGTTTACCAGATTGGATCTCTTGCCCACAGGAATCCCCTTCTTGTCTTCTTATGTTTGATTGTAAGAACAACTTTTAACTTCCATGTTTCTTCATGGACTACTTTGACTTTTAGCATAAACCGAGCAGCCTTGTGGCGAACTGGGAATCTAGAAAGCAGGACTCAATTCGGCGTACAGCATTGTCATGGTCAAAATTTAGATTCAGTGACACAGCCGTATATCTTACTTATCCACTATAGCACCAGAAAAAGACTAATAGAAAAGATCTCCTAAAGGTCTTAACTCTTTATTTCGGCAGTATCAGAACCTACTGCAACCATCACATCCATTTTGATGTCTCTAACAAGTTGGTGGCTGCTCTATCGAAGGCCTGGAAATCAGGCTTAACATAAACATGATACCTTAACCATCGTCATCTCCTGTATGCAGGTATTATCAAGGTTGGGACTCATGTCATATGATATTGCCGTGGCCCAGATTCTGCAAACAGGAATCCCATCATCCAAAGCAAATCATATCGGAACAACTGAGATTTCTGTTGCAAGTTTAGCTGAGTTAATGATGTTGGGAGTCGCAATAATTGCAAATGAAGTTTCGCATTTCAGGTTTCTGGCAGTGCTGTCATTGTTGTCGGTAGTTGGAGCCGCATGGATATTCTGCCGGTGGTTGTCGAATCCTACAGATGAACAAAGAAGCCTTTTCTCTTTTGATTAGGTTCCATTGTCTATGTGGGTATTTTCCCTGGGTTTACATATCTATTCAATTGTCTTCTCTCATTTTTCTTCTAAAGTCATCAACAGCAAAATGCCGTGGAAAAGTAATGAGATGATTTATTGAAGTCTAAAACACTGTCCATATCCAATTTACATACTGAGATGCCCCCTGTATATAGCTTGATCCAACATGGTTCTATGATTTTATTGTCAAAAGACGAGCAGCTGTTTTTGATCTTTCAGAATGGCCAACATTGGCACTTTATCGATTAAATTTCGGTTCACGAAAAAAATGGCTCTTTTACTAGCCATTGTAATAGATCATTAATGGATAACATCACTAGGAGCTTAAGAAATAAAAAACAGTAAAAAAGCATTCGCAACCACATTAATCAAATGATAATCAGCTTCAATCTCATAAGGTCCAACCAGACAAAACATGCAACAAATTCTCTTCCATCTCTGTTTAATGTTCTTTTGATATAACTGCGAAGAAATTTCCAGAAGGGTTGGAATGTTTGCTACAGCTACCATGATCCTACAGCACCCTGTGTGGGGTTCTCGAAAGCAGAGAATTCCCAGCAGGTCTTCAATGAATATGGCTGGGAAATTGTCATGCCTTCTTAAGTGATCTTCGCGATCTGCAATCAATAGAATTCAAGTACGCAAAACATCAATATTTATAGAATTTTGCCTCGGATTTCAATTTTCGGGT